ACCAGTTATAAGTTATGAGTTACTACGATAAAGTTGTGCGGTAAACTGATGCTGGGGATAGAAACGAAATGAAAACTTCTATGTAACATTGATCTCACGATAGCCCCTTGATCAACCACAAATCTATACAGTATTCAGTAAAATCTGATTTGAATACTATTATCAAAAGAAAGCACGCACTCAGATTCTAGAAGGAGCAAAGATTAAACTGCAAGCTTTAATTTAATTTTTAAAATATTTTTCTGAAATAACTTTGTAAAATCTACAAGCTATCCCAACATACCAGCATTCTTGCTTGCTGAATCCATGGCAGTCATTCGGGAACTTTGTTCAGATGCAGCAGATTCTTTCAGAGCATAATAGAGCAGTTGAGCTAACGAGTAATTAGCATAATCGTTTAGCACACTGTCATCGATCGAGTCATACATTGACATCGTTGGTTGCTTCTGCACAATAAATTTTGATAGGAAGAAGATAAATGTTAAATGACTTTCCAAATTAATACAAACTTTCGCATGTAAATATTTACAAAATCTCTACATAAGCACCGGAAAATGAAAATAGTCTTAAGCATAAAAAGTGGGACGTGAGAAGTCCCAGACGATGAAAATATTTTCTAGAATGTTGCTCACATTCGAAAAATGCCATATTTAAAAATTAAAAGCTTCCATTGCATCTGACAATCCAGTTACAAGCATTTTCGAAAAATCCTTAATTTTTAGGCTATTTTGGCGTAGTATATGATATACAACAAGAAAATAAAACGCAAAACATATTCAAAAAACGAACCGTAATAGCATCCAAAGTAAACATTGGTATTACAGATGTCTTATATGAAACGACAGATCTGAATTTATTGTACAGTATAAACCCCTGCAACCATAAAAATTTTTATAAAAGTACTACTGCACTGTCGATTTGATATGATGCCGATTTGATAATGAATAAAAGTAAAAGATGCATAGTAAGAATTTTCAAGAATTAGCAAAGGTAAGTATTTTTTTTCATTCTTAAAGAAGAAATCTGCAACTTTTTACGGCACATCTTATCTAATGATATTAATTGACCGAAATTTGATTCTTGGATTGACTGGTGAACTATTGCCACTGAATAATACTTGGGTCATGTAACATTACAGATATTTTGGAAACAACTGAGACTCTTACAACACTGTGGAAGATTTTGATTCAGCAAGCTTTCGTAAAGAAAAAGTTGGGACACTCGATTACCTTGTCAAATTTGAAACTCGACGACAGGATTTTGGCAGCAATAATTGATGCATCTTCAAAAGTTGGAGGTAAACGGCCAATTTCATTACACGAGAATAGTACATGATTTGCGTGAAGAATCTGCATAGACGCTTTAGCTTTATCACCAATCAGTACCAATTTGTAATCTGCCTCTGATGCCTTTTCTGTCAGCAGTCGTTTAGCCTCCTGTAAAGAAAATATTATGGATCTGAAATTTTCTTCAACTGACTCAATCACCAACATATATGTTGAAATTGCAGTAAAGCTTCAAAGAGTCATAAATAATGTAGAATATCAGACCAATACTATTTTTTGTTTACTGAACATTACGATACGTCCTACCTCCAAAGTACTAAAATTTCGAGTCATACTGGATAAAGCAATGATAATGATAACATTTATCAAGCTTAAAGTTATACACCAATAATCCATAATATTTATTTAAATTACCTTACACTTAAAAGTTATACACCAATAATCCACAATATTCATTTAAATTACCTTACACTTAAATATCTCCAATTATGAACTGGCAATGAAGTAACCTTTGCAACAGCCGTGTGTACAGAGCCGCAGAGTCCTCGATCTGACGTAATCAATACTAGCAAACGTTTCTCTTTTTCTCCCGAGGTCACTGTACTTTCTTGATGCTTATTTGTTGGCTCTGCCGCACCAATATTATTATAGAATTGTAATGCACCAACACCGTACACTCGAGCACCCTGAGTATTACGAAAAATCAGTAACTATCTAATTAACACAAGATTGTAAAAACAGTATGAAGATATTTGCTACATCAAATTCATTCTAACATATTATACATTTACCGGAATAAATGAAGTATTAAGCAAACACCAGACGATACACAGATTCGCAAAATATGGCTGTCATCAAGGACATTAAAAGAAAAAAAATTACTCTCAGCTCACGTTCTGCCTTGTTATACTTCGCAGCAGATACCATCTTCATACTTTTTGTGATTTTTTGAATATTTCGGATAGATTTTAACCGGATCGAAATATCCTTTAGGGTTGCAAAACCACGATGCTGTTCAATTGCAGTAATCCCACGATAAATTGATGAAAGCTTTGAACCAAACATTTTACCTGAAAAAATAACCAAGAAAAACTAGCTATTACCAGTTTTTCAGCTAGTCATTGCCGATACGAAACCAAACCTGCCAATAACAAACAAGTACTGTTAATTAATAGACGCACGAATAATTAACATTATTACTAGAATCATAAATAGTACCAGTAAAGACAGCTACAGAAATGTTACCTTAAACAATATATTAGTAAAAGTACAAATGGTATCATCATTATATTATCATTATCAATTAACCTTGGTAATTCTAACGAGTAAGTGAACCCTATTCTTTAACAATTTTTGGACAAAATCTTAGAAATTTCGAATGATTCAATAATTGCTAACAAAACGAACACCAACAACTATACAATAATCCTCAACCTGTGATTAATAATCATATCACAATAAGTGCACATTATCATATCAAATATTTTGCTAACCCTAGCAATCTTTCACATCCCTTAAATTTGAATACTATTACACAATTATTAATCTTATCAATTTCCAATTCTCCTAAAAACACATCCCATCCTTATCGCGCTAATCTAATAATTTTCATTGAGTTTCGCATCATAACAGTCTAAAAAAAAGAAGAAAAGTAAAAAAAACCACAATGCTAATTTATATCACGTTGATGCCACATTGTATAACTTTTTCGTATCTCAAATTTTGTAATCTTTCATTTCAAAAGAAAAATGAGAAAACTCGGAATAGTACAAAGATTAATTCGTTATTTGTAAAAACTAGAAGAAAAAAGAACGAATTTTTAAAATTTCTTCTATCAAATGTCAATTGGCATAAATATATCATGGAAGGAATATGTGAAAGAAATCATAAAAGCACGTGGAATATTCAAATATTGGGCAAATTTAAAGTAATTGAATACGAGAGGACAAAGATTTGAAGTTAAAATATTCAAATGTGGACAAATTTCAAGTAATTAATTTCTTACATATATACAACGTACCGTATATATGTAAGAGAATTTGAAAAAATCAAATATAGCAAGATTTACAGTAATTAAATATAAAAGATCCTTAAATAATCAAATATCAATGTATTTGAAATTCAAATTTTTAGTTTTTGAGAAATGTTTTGAAGGAAAAAAAAGGAAGAAAAAGCGAAACAAAACGTATGCTATATATATGTTAATTGCAAGTTAAATATCATATTAAACTCATATATTTGATAGTATAATAATAACAATACGATATATGTTTTCAATATGTTTTATCAATGATTGGTATATTTAGTAATCAAATTTTTCAAATTTATATTCTCTAATAAAGTCAGTTGAATTTTGTAAAAAAAAAAAATAAATGAATTCGTTTTTTGCCAACCTATCGGCAAAACAATGACGAATCACCCGAAATTATAATAAAATTGTAACCTCTGAACTTGTGGAATATTATAAAGAAGGAGTTTGAGAATCCCCATAAACGATATTATAATTTTAGGAGATCGAATATTCTCCATCTTTTTTTGCAATAAGTTAGCTCTATTTAGCCATTAAGCCATTTATCACTCCATAATTTGTCCCTTCTTTTCCTTTCTTTGCCAATACCAATAGAAATAGCTGTCCCAATTTAAATTTCAATTTTCACCTTTACTTCGATTAATTAGAAATGATTTGAACTTGTGTGATGCATTCTTTAAGTAATGCAATTTCATTTCTATTCTGTGAAAGCATTTTACATTTCCAAATTGTGCTATCAAATTTTTATTCGGAATGATTTGTCAGAAAGCTTTATCCATCTCATAATTTATCAAAATGACGGAAGGGAACTGGTCGCAGAACTGCGTCACTTCGCAGAATATAATTCCCAGATGACATTAACTCTTCATTATATGTGTTAATTGGCAACAGTGTTGTTGTCTATGTACTACTCAATAAATCAGCTCCCAAAAATATCCCGCGAG